AGCTGCCTATTATGAACAATGCAAATCATTTGCATCACCAGTCTAATAACCTTACACACATACTTTAGCTACAGCTTCTATCCTCCCGAACAAAGCCTGTCACATATATTGCATTTATAGAACTATTCTCTAAAATACTACATTTTATAAAACCTTACTGTCCATTATTTAAACTACCCCCTTCTTGCCAACAAACCTGCCATCTCCTGCTGCAATATGGATGTGCACAGGGACTGTGCCACTGTCATATGTTCTAGTTGCAGAGATGCATCTGTAATGCGGAGTGCTAGTTTAATAGCAGGTATGAGGAATACTGCAGACAAGGCTTTAAACAGAAGCCATCACAATACTGTAACTCACCTTGACAGCTTTATATATAAAAAGATCATTACATTTCAGATGAATTTGTACTCATTTCCAAAAAGGTATTTGGTAACTTTCTATTTCATATCGTTTCCTCTTGCACATAAAGAGTAAGCCTGAACACTTCATCTTCTGCCTTCAGATCTGTACTGGAATAATTTCAGATGTCCAATCTACACGTTTAATGATGCTCAGCATGTTCGGCCGACCCGAAGTGCAGGAGGAGTTCGACTCAGCCGATCCAATAGCTGGCTCGGCTAAGCCGAACTTCCGGCAGGCTAATGGCTGCTGTTCGGTCTATTCTTATAGATGCAGCAGTGAGTGAATAGCCGAATGCCGCTGAGCGGCATTCGGCTCGGCTATGCTCGGTCCCTCATTAGGGAAAAATAGTTAAAAAGTCCAAAAAAATAAATAGAAAACCATTGTGCGGAGCTAGCAATGACAGCAAGTTTTCCTTTGCAGTGGGGCTGCCCCTGCACTACAAGGGTTAACTGCTCGTTCATGCCTAATAGGACAGGATAAAGCTGTTTTAAATTTACCTGATCCCCTCCCTTGATGGCTTCCTTTGGGCTGCTAAACTGATCCTGCAGCCTCTTCTCACCTTCACTCCAGCAATTTAAAAGGTTATTAAACCCTCACGTTAAACCCTCTAAAAACTTTAAAAAAAACAAAAATAAACGAAAACCTTTTCAAACAGGTTTAAAAACTTGCCTGTGTCTTCACCGCGCGCTCCCATCCGAATATCTGAAGAGTCTCAGGCGGCCGCAAACGATCTTGGGGCGGGCGCATGCGCAGTTCAGATGTTCGGGAGACAAGGAGAGACACAAGGTAAGTCTATGGAGCAGCGTTCACCCGCACAGACACCGTGGGACATGAGAGAAGAGGAGGACAGGGGAATCACCGCTGGATCAGAGACCCGCACCAGCGCTGGAGGGACAGCTGAAAAGGACAGTAAATAAGATGATCGGATTAAGAAAACTAATTTAAGGTAAATCCTTACATTAAGGTAAATCCTTACATTAGCACTGTGGGGGGTGAGCGGGACGACTTTTGACTTTAAGGGCCTTGACCTCATCAAGTAGAATTCATGCTCCATAGCCTGCCTTGTACACAAGGACACTGAGGGACAGCCCACAGCAATAGCGGAGGAGAAGAGGAGAGCCGGGGAAGTGGGGATCAGGTAAGTAAAACAGATATTTCAGTTTTTTATATATTAACAGGTAATTAACCCTTGCAGTGCACTGGCAGCCCCACTGCATGGAAAACTTTTACTTTCCCTGGAGTTGGCCATTAAAGCACAAGTGGACAAATTAATGTGGCATTCTTGAGCCAATCCAGGAGCGGGCAGGATTATTTTTCAGAAACTAGCTCCAATGACAGCAACTAGTGAAAACTTTAAAAATTAAATGCCAGCTGTCATTTTAAAGGAGCATTGGCTATCTGGCTCCTGGGATTTGTCTAGCCGTGCCTTGAAGGGAACTACAGTCTACACTGAGTTATTCTAAAAACTACCCACATTACAATCTGATAGTACATTCTCCTTTAGATCTTCCAACAAATATGTAATACAAGGGCCTGCCTGGTTGAAAAAAAAAAAAATAATGCATCTTTAAGGTGGCCTTGGTGTTATATAGGCTATCAAAAAAAGGTTGTAAAATCAGATTATAAAGTCTATGGTCACCTTTAAATGACAAAAATCTAAAAATGGTCACATTTTGATATCAACTTCACTCAAGAAGTTATAAGATAAAGATGAATTGCAAATTAGAGACCCATTTTATTGTTATCTGCAGTCTGGGACTCGAGTTGGGCAACTTTACCCCACAAAATCCCCCATGCTCAGCAGCATTAGGCATTTGCGAGCTACGAAAGGTCACTTCAGAGTAAGATAATGGTAAATGAGTTCTCTGTAAAGGGATATTGCCATGGTAATTGTATTTATGTATGCCTGAATACGCTGGCACTGCCGAACAGGGCATATAATCAAATGCAGTCACTGTTCAACCGATATTTTTTCACCTGGCTTAGTGGAATTTAAAATAGCCTTTTGTTGATCCACGTGGTTCCTCTCAAAGCCACCCACAGCTTGAATTTGGGGCGATTTAGTAGGAATCGGCCAAAATTCGAACCATCTATGGCCAGCCTTACTCTGTAAAGCCTGAAATTCTACCATCTAATTATTTATATGTTTCAAAATCAATAAAACTATCTCTGGGGTATACCATTCCACAGAAGCAACAGGTGACATGAAATCACATAATAACATCTGCATATTAATGAAAGATACAAGAGCCCATATGAAAGCCAGCAGGCTTGATGATGGGAAAATGCATGCAAAGAAAAAGCTGGTCATTTTTGAGCAAAGCACGTTTTACCAGTGGGAACCACATTCACATAATTAAATACTCAGTAAATTTAGATAAAGCTGGCCTGTCTATATTACAGATGGCCATTAAAACTGCATTCCAGTGAGAGCACCATAAGCACACCAGGCAGAAAAAAGATTACGGGCCATTTGCGACCCTGGGAGTTCTTGTGAAAATTCCAAGAATCGGCACTGGTAGCTGAATATCCCTAAAAAGGTATACAGTAGTTTGAGAAGTTTGGTGTGGAGGAACTGGATTGGCCTGCACAGAACCGAGACATTAACCCTATTTAACACCTGTGGGATGAACTGAGACGCTGACTGCAAGCTAGGTCTTCTCTTGAAAAATCAGTAATTGATCCCACAAATGCGCTTTTGTTTGAATGGGCACAAATTCCAACAGACACACTCCAAAATCTTATGGATTGCCTTGTGAAAAAAGTGAACAGCCACAAGTGTGGGGGTAATTGTGGCAGGTAACTCCATACTAATGCCAATGTTTTTGGAATGGGACTTCCAACAAGCTAATATAGGCGTGATGGTCAGGTCTCCACAGATTTTTGCCCATATGGTATATCTTGTAAATGTATTCTATATTTGGTGAGTAACCTCTACGTTTGTATTAGCATCTTTAAATATCTATCACGACTGTCTATATACACACTATATGACAATCAAAGCTTCATCTTGATATTGAAGTATATAGAAAATGTAGTGTCTAAAAAAACAGCCTTCATGAGAATTGGGAAGATATATCATTGTGTGCCAACCTGGTGCAGAATCACGATAAAGAGATCTACCACCAGTCAGCATCAGTAGAGACTGCTGTCTTATATACTTTATTCTCACACACCCATACAATCAATAGGTATACACACAAATACTGAATTAAATCAGAAAATGTGCTTGCTTAAAACAATTAATGAATATTTATCTTAAGGCATATTGCAGCTGCCACCAGTTTAAAGTGGAACTACAGCCAGAACGTTTGGCTGGTGTTTTAGAAAAAGTGGGGGACGGTTAGAACCTCTGTCAGGGTTTTATTACCGTCTGATTCCTTATTGGTGAGTATTTCACTCACTTACTGTATGACCACAAAGACATTAAAGTGAGCAAACTCCTCTCTCAAGGTAGAGCTTGCAACCATTGCCTACTCCACTCAAAAAAGTTAGACCCGGACTTCCAATGTAGCTTGCAGCTTGAATGTGAATTTATTATAACAGATGGATATATTAACACACATCCATTACCACTAAAAGCATACATTGAGGCAATTTCTGTGCCAAAATGCATTGTACTTTGATTAATCACCTGCTTCATCAGATTTGAAAAAGCAGTCAGATGTCTGTCCACGTTTTCCGCTATGGACACTTATGAAAATCTGAATTGGCCAAAAAGAGTGTAAAACGCACCCACTTTTGTAGGATAACTTCCGTTATCAAATGTATGCCTAAATTGGTATTAAAATTATTGAGACAGGAGGGCTACAAGCTGTCTCAAATTTAATTCTTTTTCCACCACATTATTGAGGTACAGAGTGTTGCGCACATCAGCTGGGAGGTACGTTGGTTCAAATTATTGGCAACACAGCGCACCTAGCATACAGTAACGCACGCTTGGTGTGTTGTGATAGCACACGTTAATTGCATGATATTTGCAATTAACGCTACACTTAGGTGTGAACAGGCCCGTAAGGTCAGATCAGTCAGAAGAGGACATGTAAAAAAAAAAAAAAAAAGATCTAGCTTCCGTCAGACAGACCTATACATCTACAGATTTCTAGTCTGCTGGTAAATCTGTTATTTCACCGTTTCGACTCCAGTCCACCATTTAATCCAAATGGGGAATTTACATTTCTTGCCGATCAAGACAAACCAAATTATAACCTTATTTTTATTTGCCAACAGCAAATGCTGAATTCTTCCAATGCAGGCGAGGAATTTATTTAGCACATCATGATGGGTATGTAAGATGCACGACACATTTTTCTCTCCGCTATCATTCTAACTCATCTTTACCCAAGTAATCTGCATACTGGAGCTCCTCATCATCATTAGCAGCATTAATTCATTCTCCGCAAACACGATCTGCTGTTTCAAGCAAGTGCCATTGCTCCCTTGCTCATTAAGCAGTCAATAACGTCTGATGGATGCTACCGATAGAGGACTATCTATAATCAGCTCATCAGCATACAGCATACAAAATGTCTTTCTTGGCAAACGATTCTCAAAATGTCTCTCAGGAGAAAAAATAAAAAAAAGAACTAAATTACCGTTATACGTCACAGTTTTCCTGGGAGTCACATCCAAATCAGCAGCTGACCTCTTTGATGTATATCCAATTGTTACTGCGTACAGTGCCACAAAGTAACAAGCCACATGCCTCTTCATCTTTTCGTAGGAAACCCCTGTGCTCAATGGTCGTCACTGAAGAGATCTGAGATGGAAACAGAGTGCTGGCAATTTCATCCTGAAAAGGTAGAAAAGAACAATATGAATGCTATGATACAAACGGATTTCATTTTGGTACAATGGGGAAAAGTTAGAAGGCCTGTTAGGTGTGTATTGATGTCTGGGTCCCTAATGGGGTGTTTTCCTCTACCTTACTGTCTCAGTGTGCAGAATGGGCACAAACAGGATATGATAGAAAATCTCCCCAAGACCTAGAGAGCAATAAAAACCTGACAGATACAGGAATGCCAAACTGGTGCTTTGTGAACCAAATGCCATCCTCCTTGCTAATTTATGGCTCTCATTCAGGGTCAGACTAGGGACCTGGGGCCCACCTGAGAAAGTGATAAGGAGGGCTCACCATAAAGCATTGCACATAGTGGCAAAATATCAGCATGGCTTACCATGAGGGGCTATGATTAAACCGATGCAGCATATTCTAATCATTTATTCTAAAAACGTATGGCCAGTGTGAGAAAATAAATTGAATATAAAAAGGTTTTCAGCAGGATAGCTGATCCTACCTGCAGTCCACTATTAGTATTCATATGTTACAGAGACTGACAGAAACTGCTCCTATGTAACAAAAGACTGTCATAGCCTGTTGGCATGTATCAAGCACTATTATAGACTGCTCAAATATAACAACAAAAGATTGTAAAATGAAACATTTATATTACAAATGCTTGTACACAGAGAGTTTACATTTTGTCAGAGCAAACATTAAAAGGAGAACTATGAGGCGAGTGAAAATCACTCAGCCTCATAGTTCTAGCCGACCTGTGACAATGAGACTGTCACCGGTCTGCTCAATAGATCGGGAAGTGAGCGATTCTCAATATACTGCAAGCTGTAGCTTGCGGTATACTGAGTTTGGGTGACGGGAGGACGCTAGTTTGTGTCCTCCTGTTACCCTTAGGAGAACTATGGGGAAAAGCCCTGACACCATAGTTTTCCTTTAAAGAACTCCAGGGACATTTTTTATTGACCCTTGGGCTGAAAACAAAGTTATACTCATACCTGGTTCTCTGAGCCGGCTTGCTCTTAGAATGGTTCCTGCACCCTCTCTCCCCCTCCGCTGCAGCAGCCTAAGATCCCAGAGTGATCACATTGTATACAGTGTACATGAGGTCAGGGGACATTCTATCGCTGCAGTGGAGGAGGTGACAGGTTGCAGGGAGCACTGTCACTGCTGACTGGCTCCAAGGACTGGGTAAGTAGAACAGTTATTTTCAGCCTTAGACCCAAACGAGCAGTTAACCCTTGCACTGCAGGGGTTAATAAAAAAAATTCCCAGGATTTCTGCTTTAAAAAGAGAACTTTGTTAAAACTGGAGAATACTCTGTATACTCTAATACTCTAATTTCTCTGTATGTTATGTTGTATGTTAAATAGCCCTGATCAGAATGTTGTCTCAGCAGTAGCTGGTTGCCAAAGCTACTGCTGAGACAACATTCTGATCAGGGCTATTTAACATACAACATAACATACAGAGAAAGGGGGTCAGAAGCATGTAACAGTGTCTCTTACATTTCTGGTCAATAAGTGCAAAAATCAGTCCTATTATTGGTGTCAGTGGGTATAAAAATAAATCGTAGATGTTAATATTTGGAAAATGTTAGGAGGGAAACCTTGAAAGGGATTGAAAAATAAACAAACATTTTGCACGCTTAGCCCGTCAACAGCTTTTGGGTGTGGTGTATGTCCCTTGTAGTGTCACCCTTGCATTAGACAAAGAGTGCAAGGGAAACACAAAGAGAGGGGCGCCTTTCCTAGTGCAGATTGGTTTATTCAACAATGATAAAAGACAAGCTGGCAGGTACTCACAAGGGTGGAATAACAACAAGCTGTAGGACAGTAAAAAACCGGAGCAATGGAGGGATCTGTACGATACGTCCTGTATGCAGATCAGTGAGGTGTCAAACTCAATTGTTATTCCACCCTTGTGAGTACCTGCCAGCTTGTCTTTTATCATTGTTGAATAAACCAATCTGCACTAGGAAAGGCGCCCCTCTCTTTGTGTTTTCTTGTAGATGTCTCAGTCACCCTGACTGTATTGGGGCTGCATCCTGCACTTATGCTCAGTACTTCTTCCTTATGAGGGATCACTGCCTCTGGCGTTTCTGGATACTATTTTAAAGAGTGCAAGGGGGTACATGTAAGAGAAAGTGGAAGAAAAATTAGCCCCTCTTTTGTCATCAACAGCGATAAATTCCAGCACTAGTGTCCAGGGACGTGATAACCCCAAAACATTGTATCTCTATGATTAAGGCCCATAGTGGTGAAACATGTTAGTGCTATTCAGGCGGTAAATCTCTATGTGCTGGACAAATCTTGCCGTTGTGGATTCAATCTTTCATCATCAGTGGATCTATTATGTGTGGCTTGTTTTCTTTTGTGTGGACCAAAACACTAGTGTCAGTGACTGCATTAATAAACCCCAACAATGGTGTCAATGGCTGCAATAATAATTACCAACACTTAAGTCAGTGGCCGCAATAACAATCAACAACACTGCAGCGAGTGTCTGCTGTAAGGACGCCCAACACTGGTGTCAGTGGGCATAATAATAACCCCCAGAATTGGTGTCAGTGACTGCAAGAATAAACCCCTCGGATTGTTGTCCGTGCAGGAAGAAACCCCTAGTATTGATGCCAGCAATGGTATTAGTGGGTGTAGCAAAGAAAGAAACCCTTGCAGCACTTGAAAAAGGTTCAGTCTCTGGCAACCAGGGGACTGTCATTAACGTTCATCTTTTTGCATATACTGTATATGCAGCAATGGTGTTCAGTGGTTTAACTTCATTACCCGCCACTGTGATGCTCCCTTTCTCCTGCGCTGCTGACTCAGCAACTCTGCAGGAACTATAATTTAAGTGCAGACAGGAGATCAATCCACCCAACAGGGCATGCACAAGTGCGGTGAGCAATGCCAGAATGCAAAGCATTCCAGCACAGTAGCAGGGGTCCACCAGAGAACCCTCTGGCGGGCCAGTCTGGGCCTGCCCTCAGTGGATTAAGAATGTAAATTGAACAAGGACCAGCTGGTTGATAAGGGCTACAAGTCTCTACATAATTTTACAGCTTACTTCAGGAATAGCTTTATGACCCCTTACTCTAGAATAGAATATTCTAAGTTGGAACTGTTACTTTAATATTAAAACAGATCTGCCTTTCTTTTAGCCTCTTATAACCATCTGCACAAAATGATTTAGATTGGAACAGAAGGGGCAGCACAGTAAGCCAAGAAGTAGCTGGCTGATAGGAAAAGACAGCAAAGCATTGGCATAAGCTGGCCAAACATCTATAGACTATCTGCAGATTTTCTATGATCAGATGGAAAAACTGCAATAGATTCCTCCATCTACACTAAACTGTGTGGATGGGGGAATCTCCCGCTGGGCCAAGCTTCAGTATCTTGCTAGTTGGCCCTGCTGGCTCTCTAAATACCTGAACACTCTGATTTGGATGTAGGCATTGTTCAGGTATTTTGAAAGCCAGCGGGGCCGACTAGCAAGATACTGAAGCTTGGCCCAGCGGGAGATTCCTCCATCCACACAGTTTAGCGTAGATGGAGCACTTTTTCCATCTGACCATAGAAAGTCTGCAGAAAATCTATAGGTGCATGGCCAGCTTTAATCAGTATGTTGCTGCTTCTTACCTATTCAATCACAGGCAGAGGCTCTTGACTTTGCTAATTTGCTTTATCTACAGTCACAGCTGGCCGCCGGGCTGTGACTGTAAGAAACTGATCTGGCCGTATCCTCAGAGCGGCGTTCGGCTCCGCCCACTCCCTCGGCGTGACTCCGTTCCACCGCAGCTGTCCCCATGAAGCCGGGAGATTCTAAATGCTCAGTGTCTTAGTATACCTAAAGCACTGAGCATTTCCCGGCCGGCTACCACTGTCACAGTTGCTCCGTCCTATCCCTCGGCTCCTACCCTCCACGACGAGGCAGTCTGCCTGTGTGATCTGCAGCCTGTCAGCTCCCCTGCTTGCTGACAAGAGCTCTGCAGTCCGTCCTGTGAGACCTTCAGCTTGTCGGCTCCCCTGTCTGGAGACAGGCAATCTCCTCCCTCTGCATGTTAAACTGGGTGAAGGGGAAATAGCTGGACCCTGCTGCAGGATTTCTAAGCCCAGATCATGGCACGCAGGATGTGCTTCCTTAAAAAGGCACAGTACACACAACCACTCTCAACAACTACCAGCCGTGATCAAGAAGAGCAAGCTGTACATTCAGAGCAACTAATAGCAAGTATCTCTTTATATTTCTATAATTTGGACATATGCTATTTGACGTCTGTATAAAGAAATACTCTTGCGCAGGCATTCAGTTATATTCTCATTGAACTAAAGTTGGAGTCACCCTGACACTTGCTCATTATTTCTGCTATACTTTAATCGTACGCTATTGATGTCTGTATGAAGAGAGGCAATTGCCTAAGATTTGCAATCCATTCACAAAACCGTGAGTTTCTCGTCCAAATCCATTTATTACATTGTAAGCGTTACAGTGACAAGCGAGACCCGGCGAATGAAAGGCTGCAGCGGCGTGGAATTCCGGGTGGTAAGTTGCTTTCTACATTTAGTCCTGCTTTGCACAAGCAGGACTAAATGTAGTGCGGGGAAGCAATGCCGCCGAGATCACTTGTACTAAGACTGCAGCCGTCCTACTAACCCCCCCCTGCGCCCTTACCTCTCTACTTGGTGGCTCCGTCATCCGGCTCCATTGTCCCGGAAAGGCTTACTCTGCTCGAGCAGAGTAAAGCTTTCCATGCGATCTGTGGGGTTTTTTTTCTGACATCGGAGGCGCCGGCTGCCGTCAGTCAGAAAAAAAAAAAAACCCAGCAAAGGAATGCATAACTAGATTCCTATTGACTATTTTGTCTTGCAATAGCCAATAGCAAACTAGCTATTGCACCCGCCCACTGCTGCTGTCAATCAGCAGAGGGGGACCTGAAGTTTTCCATCAGGTCCCCGTCTGCTGATTGACAGTACCAGAGGGCAGGTACAATAG